GGCAGAAACACAAACATTCAGTTTGTAACAGCCTGCACTCCCAGAATTTGTTGTGGCAAAGAGTAAAGGAGCGTACCCTGTGGGTGTGCTGTGAGAGAGAGCTGGTATGCAGGCCTGTTAAATCTTGCCTGAGGGCTGACTAGAGAGGGGACCATGCCCCAACAGAGACACAAGAGCCTGCATGTGTGGAAAGGAGGAGGAGCTTGAGACAGAGGCCAAAAGAAAAGTCATTAGTCAACCTCCAAGAACAGTACATCCCCGTATGAAAGAAATGCAGATCAACTATAACTAGCAATGGGGAAGGTGGTCCTCTGAAAAAGGAATCAACCTTAAATACCAACCAGGACCACAAAGTGCAACATTAGCTGGAGGTCGCATCAGCCAAGTGAGAGCGTTCCTGTCCCTTTCCAGGCTCGTCTTCAGCCCTGAGGGAGGAGCTGTAGAAGTTCGAGTCAGAGGAAATGGCAGTAGGTCCAAGCTAGGAAGGGAATAGCCATAACTTTGAATAAAATTGAAAGCTTGACTATTACAAAAAAAATAAACTGGACATATTAATTACGTTTTGAAGGACCTCTTAGTTTCACAAAGGAACCAGAGGAGTCATAGGATTTGCCATGTATCTTACCAAGACAGAACTACTAGTCTTCTAGTCTGAATTTTAAAGGGCAGAGATGAAAACCAGGTTGCTTGATGTCCCATGGTCATGTTCGTTGGACATAACACTTGTAGTGAGGAATCAGGGGGATTGAAGTGGGAAACAGAAGGCCATCGGCTCAGTGGTGGCCTTAGCAATGGCTCCTCCCTATATTTATCTCTCGTGTTCTGTGGCTGGCCCTCTGGGGGCACCCATGCTTTGCTCCGTGTCCCCATTCTCTTCTTGTTTCCCACAGATCAAGTTGTGACATATTCGCCAGCTCAGGCTCTGAAGAGAGCTGGTGTGATCATTGACCTAATGAAAGATGACCAAAGACCTTTGTTCATGCCTCCTCATGGGTCATTGATCAAACCCAGCACAGACCACCTTTGGTCAGCTGTCTTAGTCAGTAGCCACACTGAGCCCTGGGGGCAAGAGAAGAAGAACCTAGAGCTGCTTTCCTGAACTTCAACTAGAAGGAGATGTTAGGATATTGGATATAAGAAACACAGTTACTGATTATTCAAGACGTGGCTCTTTCTCTCTCTTTTTTTTAATCCTTACCCGAGGACATTTTTCCATTTTTGGTCAGATAGAGTGGCAGGGAGGGAAAGAGGGAGGTAGAGAGACAGAGAGAGAGAGAGAGAGAGAGAGAGAGAGAGAGAGATGTGAAAGCAACACATCGAGTGGCTGCCTCCCGCACAACCCCAACTGGTGCCGGGGACAAACTGCAATGGAGGTACATGCCCTTAGCGGGAACCAAACCCGGGTCTCTCTGGACCATGGGCCGACGCTCTAACCGCTGAACCAAACCGTCCAGTGTGGCTCTTTCTCTTAACAACAAGAAAGGAAACCTTAGACTAGCCCCAGGAATAGAGAACGTGCAGGGTTGTACAAGTCATTAGATTCTAGAGTTACAGATTATTTTTACTTTTGTTCTTCCAGGTACACAGAATAAGGAGCCATAAAAGTTCTTTGTACAGTAATAGTGAGTTAAAAGACTTGGGTTCAGGTCCACTTACAAAAAAGTAACATTCCTTCTTTGAGTGTCAGTTTCCTTACCTGTAAAATGAGAGCCCCTCAGTGATCTCCAACAGAACTCACATTCCCGGCACCTGCTTTTCTACATCTATCTCATCTAACCTTTACAAGTTCCTTTGGGTTAGATATCACTGTGTCATTTTAAAGACGAGGAAGCGGAGGCCCAGGGAAGGTGAGTGTCTTTACCCAACTCACAAGCTTCGTAAATAGTGGAAATGGGATTAGATCCCATGTGTCTGACACCAAACCAACATGCTTCAGATGATCCTCCCAGTGCTGTGATTCAGTGAGGTAGGGGTGCTCTCCAACACACACTGTGCTTGAAGACACTGCCGCATGGCTAGTCTTGCCACCGGCCCCGCTCCGTTTTCCCAGAGGGAGCTGAAGAGAGGCCACCACCACAGGAGACAATCTGCACAGTCAAGCTGTGTGACACCAGAGGTATGTGAAGAGCAGACAGCATACTCCCAGAAAGCTGTGGAGGCAGCGACCAAGCAGAGCTAGACACAACAGAGAAAGGAGAAATCGCAAAGCAAGCTTCAGCCAGGCCTGTTTTGCGGTCAGCTTCTGAGGAGTGACCACACTGAACTGGGCCCCCGAGCAGCCGAGAGTCTAAAGGCACAGGTCATGCTCTCCCAGCTCCCACTTGCAATGTCTCAGTTTTATGAGAAGACTTTCACACACTCCCAGTTTCTTTGACTCTGTTCACAAATAAATGGTGAACAACTGCTCCCTGAAACATCGTCTGAATCACAACGGATAACAATGACATGTTCACATCCTCCCTTGTGCTGCTCTGCTTTTAAGGAAAAAACAGTCCATTCAGTTTTATATGGAATTTGAAAGAGGGTTGGGTGTCATTACGGCTTTTCTAGTCTGAAAATGGCAACAGCGAGAGCCACAACTTTAGGGGAGCATATCTGGTCATCTATTTTTTACGATTTACAGAAAAGAATTAATATTTCATGTTATCAATCTCCAGGTTGTATGGTTTCTTTTAGATGCTAAGAAGGTAACAGCCAACCTTCTGCTACATTGCAACTTTTAGACTGATGTTAGTGTTTTGTTGGGTAGAAGTTACAAATAATACCCAGCGTTAGTCTAGCGAACTGCGTACTGAACTGAAAAAGAAGTTCCACCAGAAATGAGGTTGGAATGATGAATACACTGAAGCGGTTACTTCCGCTGAGTAAGAACAATGCAGGTTATAGAGATGAGCATATGTGGGCTGGAACAGAGAAGACTTCCAGTTTCTTACCCTCTGGATGTCAAGTTTGACTAGTCCCCCAAACCTCGTGAACTCTCTTGTTTATAAACCACTGCCTCATCAGACACTTTTGTTCCAACTCCATTAAAGGCAGAACCTGACCATACTGGCCCCTTCTGGCCACTCCTCAACTTGGGGAGCTCCCCCCTCCTTCCTTTCCACTTCCTTTCTCCTCCCACCAAAGTTACCACTGAAAGTGGTGGTCACTTGTGGCCTTTCCCCTGTGCTGAAGCCTAAAATCACTGACAGCCAAAGACCTGCAGTTTGCCCAATTTAATTTTCTTCAAATTATTTTTCATATCTGGCCCTGGCCAGTTTGGCTCAGCGGTTAAAGCATCGGCCTGCGGTCCGGAGAGACCCGGGTTCGGTTCCCGCTAAGGGCACGTACTTCGGTTGCAGTTTGTCCCCGGCCCTGGTTGGTCGTGCGGGTGGCAGCCACTCGATGTGTCCCTTCATGTCGATGTTTCTCTCTCTCTCTCTCTTCCTCTCTCTCCCTCCCACTCTATCCGTACAAAAAAAAAAAAAATATTTTTCATATCTGTTGTGTCCCAGGGTCTGCAATAATAGAAAGATATGGAGGAGAGCTTTACGCTCTACTTATATCAGAGTTTTCATCTGAAGCAATTAGGCCAGCACAAAGTATGCCTGAGGGCTGGAGAGCTCCTGCCTCCTCAGCCCCCTTTCCAGAGCCTTGGTTTGGCTCCAGACCACTGAAAGACCAGACCTCTGGTCTCCCCTGAGGTCGAAGACCCCTGAGAGTTCTGCTTTGGCTGGCTGGGTGTGAGGAGAAAATTTTCCCTTTGAAACCATGTCCTAAATGGCCGTTGGGTTCCACACTGCTATTGGTACAATACTGTTGTTTAGTTACAGAAATGGATCTCTGTGGAGCCATCCAGAAATCTAGCATCCGTAATTGTCAACATCATTTGTATGGGAAAACACTTTCTGACTTCCAAATAATTATCCTTCCGGTGTTGTAAATATTACATAAATGTTATCATAAAACTAACTTTGATTGTTCTCAGGCTTGGAGTAGCCCAGGTCCCTCCTGTGGCACATGGTTGACTCCCTCACTTGATTCAATTTTTGCTCAAACGTTACCTCCTCAAAAAAGCTGTTTCTGACCACCCTATCTAAAACAGAGACTTTTCGTTTTTCTTCATCACACACATCTCCACCTGAAATATTTATTGCTTGTTTACATCTTTATGGTCTAGCTTCCCCACTAGAATGCATGTCCTAAAGGCAGAGGTTTTGTCTTTATTTGGCAATGCTATCAGTGTCTTAAATAGTGTCACGCACATCAGGAAAGCTTGGTGACGACTTCTCGTACGAAACAGTGAACAAACTGCACTGACTTATCCAGCGTTACTTCTCTCCCCTCGGTAAAGCTGCCTCAATGTCACTGTGCCTCACTTTCCTTAAACTGGTGTGGAGTATATGATCGCTAAGCCACTTTCAAGGCCTAAACTTTTATGATCCTTTGCTCTCTCAATTCTGACACTTCGGACCTAAGAAAATGCAGAGAGGATGGAGAATCTCCACTTCATCTCTGTTCTCGTTCTAGGTAACGTTTGAGCCTAACGCAGAACCAAGTCTACTGACTTCCACAGCCCTTCTACCATCCTCTCTCCCTTTTTCATGTTGTCTTTCCTGCCCCAGGAAATGCATGCCAAGAATACTGGAAATGTAGCTAGATGAAGTCAGAGGCACAGGATGCTACTCAAGTGTATAAGCAAATCTTCCTTATATTTCTATTGTGGAATCAGAAGTTGTGTGATGAAGGGTCAAGGACCACACAAGTATCGGGAATTCTCCCTTTGGAGAGACAATCCTTTGAAAGTAAAAATATTAAACTAATTCATATTAAGGTGTTAGTAAATTATTGGAGCATTTCTGCTAATTGAAAGTACTAGATGCTTCAGTAAAAATTTACTCTGAAAATTCAGGAGCGGGGATGTGTAGAAAGGAGAGGCGAAGATCATAGAAGATGAAATTGACTAACATCAGTTTTGCCTAGGGCTAGCTGTGTTAAACCTTCTAATTTTCTTTTTAAAGAACAGTATAAAATCACTCTGGAAGATGCTAGAAAGAGAATAATCAGAGAAACTTTGTTGCAACTGGACCAAAAGAAGGATTGGGCTACAGAGGTATATTTCAATTTTCTGATTAAAAAAAAAAAAACTTTCCCTCTATTTTTTCTTGCAATATAATACAATAGTTAAAAATCTGGAGTCTTAGGCAGCTTGAATGTAATTGCATTTTTACCACTTATTGGGTGTGTAAACTAAATTTGTTACTTGATATTTCTGGGCTTCAGTTTCCAAATCTATAAAAAGGGAATAATAATAATATTTACCTTTAGAGAATAAGGAGAATTCTTGAGGCTTAAATACTATTGAGCATTCTCTTGCTACAGTTAATTGTATCTAAATTCCAGGAAAAATAAATGATGCTGGAAGTTTAAAAAAAAAAAAGGAGGATTCTTTTTTTTTTTTTTTTGTGGTACATGCCCCTAGCGGGAACAAAACTGGGACTCTCTGGTCCACAGACCTACACTCAACCACTGAGCCAAACTGGCCATGGCTTAAGGAGGATTCTTAAATACTTAGTAATGAGATGACTTAAGTATCCTCATAAGAAACAAGAGCTCAGTAAATTATTATTCATTTATTTTTAAGTATAATAATAATGGCTATAAGTTATTAAAGAAAGTTATGGATGAATTATAGAATGAAATATAATTTATCTAAAAAGTACTTTCTTATATATCCAGGCCTAAGAGAGTATTCTTGCTGGAGCTTTAAACCTTTGTAATATAATAAAATATTTGAGAGAGAATTTCTAATCTTATATGTTTTCTAATTTCTTTGCTTTGCAAAAATATCTGACTCCCCCCCACTTTTTTTTTTTCACTGTCCTTCCCCTGTTGCCAGAATATGTCCTACATCAGTCAAGTCCCCACTGGGATTGTCTCTTCATCTGAAACATTCCTTCTTCAGAATCATAAATGTCTGGTCTTTTCTAATGTTCTTCGCTGACAGTTGCAACTGTTTGTTGCTTCCCTGTTGGTTCAGTTGTTCTTTTACTGTGGTTATCCTATTGCATGATTGTTATTAATTTACACAAGTGCAGAGGACTGTGGAAAACTGACCAGTGGTTTGTCTGCCCATGCAATTGGGCTAACTTGAATATGACAAATGGTGAAATCGACAATTAAGTGATCTGACCACAGTTAAGATTATTAAAAATGTATATGTAGATCAAATATACATGTTCAATATATAATGAGGACTGTTTTATGGTTCCGAGCATTTTACATTTAAGTCTCTCAACAATTCTATAAGTAGGGACTTGCTAGTGAGAAGACTGAGGCAGAGAGAAGTTTCAGACTTGCCCAGAGCAAGTGGCAGACTCAAGATTCATTTTAAGCTGTGTCCTTCAGATCATTGCTCTTAATCATTACATTGTACATTTCCTTCTCTCTGCATAAGCAAATACCCACACAGCTGAATTAATTTTCCTCACTTAATCTGGCTATTTTAGGGCATAGTTTAATTTCCAGAATCCATTTGTTGCACATCCTTGGCTGCATACTGGAATCACCCAAGAAATGTGTTTAACCCAGGTGGTGCCTGGGTCCCACTCAAAGAGACAGATGCTCATGTAATCGGCCTGAGATGTTGCTGGGGCTTCTGGATTTTTCAAAGTGCTTGGGAGAGTCTAATACGTGTCGGAGGTGAAAAACCACTGCTCCATTGTTAGTGAATTAAGCCATTAGCAAATAACTTCAGTTACAAGCTACTTCCTACTTTTGTCCAAATGAAATTCCATTTTGAGGAAGCTTTAGAAGCATCAGTTGTAACTGGAGTATAAACATTCTTGGTTCCTGGGAGATGTAGGGCCACTCTTTGTTTAATTAGCCTCATTTAAAGGAAATTTTTTATTGCAAATCTTCCAGCTCTAAGAGATAAATTTACCTTTAACATATTTTAAAATTATATCTGACCATGTTTATGAACTAGTAGATTTTTCCTAATTTCTCCTTTTGGTTGTGCCCCTCAGTTGCTGAATATTGACACTGTAACATGGTATCTACATAAAAGTACCTTACAGATAAATATGATCCATCATCCACTGTAAAGTTCCTTTGGGTAAAACTGTAAATACCCAAGTAGTTAAAAATGAATCCACCTTTTATGAACCTACTGTCTAAGTATGGCTTTTCCCAGTTTCTTCACCTAAAATACCTTTCCCTGAGAGACTGTCTAGCTATAGCCTGCCACCCAGAAACTTGTTGCTGTTAGGTTTGCAAATATGTATTATTGCTATAACGAACATGCAGAAATCTTTCAAATTAGAAAGATAGTGAGGTAATCATTTGTGCTTTTGCTATATGTTGGATTGTGTTTTAACCATAACCTTGAAGAATGTCTGATCACTACAGTTTAGCCATCTTAATTGTGGAGCAGATCACTTAGTGATCCGACTTCACCATGGCAGTCAGACTGGGTCACGATAGAGGCTACAGTGAATGGCCAACCACTGTCCAGTGCTCTAAATTGACTATATTAGGTCATGTAAATCAGTAAAAACAATACAGCAGGAGACTAAAGAAAGAACAACTGAACCAAAAGTTCTTAGGTATGTTTCTAAAGTATTTGTAAAACATAATTTAAAAGGAATGAGCAGATAAGTTGACTGCATCATCATTGCCAAAGTTGCGACTTGCCATGCGGTGACTCTTCCTCAATCAACTTCCTTTCAGAATGCTGTAAGGTTGATTGACAGTGGCAGCTATCGAGAGATCTGGGAGAATGACTGGCTGAAAAGAGAGGTGAGTGGAATTTTTAAAAACAATTTCTTTTTTTTGAACTAGAAATGACTTTTATTTATGAGCTGAAGTCATGGGGAAAGCAAGGAGCTGTCACCAGCTGAGGTAAAATAACATTCAAGTGGAGCCTCAGTCTTATTATAAGCGGTTGCTCAACAAATACCATAATGTCAACAATAACCAGAAATCACTTTTTGCGTCACAACTCACAAAATATACTCAGATGTACAAAGCTTCTTTATGCCCTAAGAATCTGGTCTTCCTCTTAGGACCCTAGCACCTGCTGGGTGATGGGAGCAAGGCTAAAGGATCATTCCAACCTCATTGTCTGCTGTTATAAACTGACTTCAGATAAATGTTTATTCTTTTAGATTTTCTTTCCTCCTGCCCTTTTCTAAGGCCGACCCCTGATGTATAGGGAGGTGGGGCACACATGCCCTCTTGTGAGGCGTGTTAGTAAAGAGGGCTCAGGGCCAAGGGTTGCCTTTGGATCCTTGCTCCCTCTGCTTTTCTGCTGTGCAGGAAGTGCTTTAGTCTGCTGCCTGCCCTGCTGATTTCTAAAATGGACTGCTCTGGCCTTCTGGACACTGTGTTGCAGCCAATACTAAACCCACAGTTACAGCCATTGGCCAGTGGTCAGGATGTCCCTACATCCCATCCCAGCGTGGTCCTCGGGCTCTCCTCACACCTCGTTCTGGGGAGCATGCGGGAACTGGTGGATCCAGCTGTCCGTCTGTCTCCCTGGCCCAGGGCAGCAATATCGCTGTTGGGGGAGGTGGGCAGGTGAGGACCTGTAGACCTCTTTATCATGGTGTACGTCCCCCTTTTCCTTGCCCTGCACTTTCCTTACCTGCTTGCCCACATCTGCCTGGGAAACTTCAGCTCTCCTTTAGACACTGCTGTCGATTTCTCTGTGAATCATTTTGTAACTCCCCAGGAAGTCTTGAGTGCTTTTCCCCCAGTGCTCTCTTGTTTCCCTGTAATGTTTGCTTTTATAAAGTATGTTGAAATGGTCTGTTTATGCATCTGTCTCTTCACTAAACAGAGCAGACTATGACTTTTCAAATATATACCCATGAAACCTAATAAATAATCTATGCTCATTAAAAAGTTATTGAATGAAAGAATGTCCATGAGTATAGATATATTTATTGGAGGGATGAGTCATATGTGTGGCTTAACTCTTGAAAGAGGCTGTGAAAGCATGTTGCTGGATGAAACAGGCACATAACCTTTGGTCCGGATGTTACGAGAGTGCTACAGAGGTTGTACAAAACTCTACCGTACTTTGAAATTCCCTTTACACCCAGACAAGTAGCCACTGAACCTACGCTTAGATGCCATCTGTGAAAGAAATCTCACTGTCTTTTGAGAGATTTCACTTCAACTACACACAGCTCTTGTTTGCAAGTCACCTGTGGGTAATTCTCAAATGTACATCTTCAGCACTCACTCGTGTGTGTCCTTAGCTCTGTACCTAGATTTTAATTTGCCTGCCGATATTTCCACTCGGATGTCCAAAAGGCACTTCGAACTCAACATACCTAAAGCAGAACTTAAATTTCCTTTTCTTTTTCACTGTCTGCTCAGACACCAGTGGGAACAATGTCACTGTCGCCTTCTCTCCTCTTCCCTTTTCTTTGCTCCCTATTTGACGAAATGAAGTTAGTGAGTCTAGAAAACAAGGGATTTAAAAATTAGTATTCTTTCTATGATGTTGACAGTATTTTTTAATTGCCTTTATAAAGTCATGGTTTATACTATTTCCAAAAACTAATCAAGATGAATCACCAAGTTTTAAAAAGAAGCATTAAGCCCGGCTGGTGTGCCTCAGTGGATTAAGCGTCATCTCATGGACTGAGAGGTCCTGGTTCAATTCCCAGTCAGGACACACACCCAGGTTGCGGGCTCCATCCCCAGTGGGGGGTGTGCAGGAAATAGTCGATAGATGTTTCTCTCTTGCATCAATGTTTCTATCTCTCTCTCCCTTGCTCTCCCTCTAAAAAAAAAAAAAAAAATCAATAAAAAACATAAAAAAATAAATAAGTAAAACATAAAAAGGAGCATTAATTTGAGCCACCATTAGCGCGAGAGCAGGCAGGGGTAGACAGTAAAGAAGCACAGCCCTACACCGCTTCATCCTGTGGCAGTTGAAGGCACAATCAGACTAGATCCTTGTCACAAGAGGAACTTACAGACTCTTCCTGCCAGGACCTCAATTTGTGTTTTAGCAAGGCAGAAAGAAATACTGTGAAAGGTAAATAACCTAAATTATCCAAAACTAAGGCATACATAGTGAAACAATTGTAGTACTTGCATAGAAGAAGGACATGTACTTGTAGATGACATTAGACTATCAGGATTTGAAGCAATTAAGAATGTCTCTGCCAAGTAGCTACTGTTAACTCTCCACCAACAGAGTCCATAAATACTAAGAGAAATGGGCAATTGGCAAATCAATTGCGGTATCTACAAAACATTGCCTTGAAGACTCTACGGAAGCATGGTTTTTCCTGGCCTTTTCAGCAGCCTGTGGATGCCGGGAAACTGAAGTTGCCTGATTATTATACCATTATAAAAAAAATTCAATGGATTTACTTACAATTAAGAAGCACTCAGAACATAAATGTTTTGTGTATAGAAGGCTTCATACAATATTCTCAAATTGTTATTTATACAAGCCTGGAGACGACATTGTTCTTATTACACAAGCACTAGAGATGTTGTTTAGGCAGAAATTATTTCAGATGCCACAAGAAGAGCAAGTTGTGGGTGGTAAGGAAAGAATAAAGAAAGATGCTCAACAGAATTTTAACAATTTCTTCTGTTCAAGAAAAAGTCCCTTAAAGCATCAGTAAAAGTGTTTAAGCAGCAAGTAAGTCCCTTCGTATTTCCTGAAACATGGATTTCTCTTTTGAATATGGCACAAGGTGGTCCACCCCACTCTACCTCATAGACAGTGGCGCAGTTACAAGGAGTGTGAAGAGGAAAACACACAACTCCTACAACCTTGGTAGTTGAAGCAAGATGAACGTTTCTCAGCACTAAGAGAAAAAAATCAACAAAAATGCCACCTGCAAAAGAAACCGTGCTGAAGAATGTTTTGCCAGGTTCTCAGCAACAATATAAAGTTGTGAAAAGTGTTCAAGTAACAGAACAATTAAGGCAATTCTGAATTGCCTGCAAAGAAACACTTTTTGTGTGCATGGTGTTTTTATAATCCTCTTATTAGTGTGTTAGGACACCATAACTACTATGATAGGGTAAAAAATCCAATGGCTCTTGGAACTACCGAGGAAAAAAGGGACAACCAAGAACAGAAGGATACCTATGAATGTGCTGCAGGTGTTAGATTAATATTCATGAATTGCATCGAATGCGATCTTCCAGATCACGAAGTAGTGACAATGGCAAGAATGCTCCAGAATGTTTTTGAAATGCATTTTGCAAAGATCCCAGAAGAACTCATTGAGAGTGCGTCTGTACGTTGCAACAAAACAGATACCACAAAATCCCTTGGTAGAGACAGCGGTAGTGAAGCTTCCTCTGAAGATAACTCTTCTGGTGGCTCTGGAGATGCACAAGTTCAGCGCCCTGTAAAGCTTCAGGAGCAGCTCAAGGCTGTTCATCACCAAGTACAGGTTCCGTCCCAAGTACCTTTCTATATACTAGATCAAAGAATGAGACGTCTAACAAGAAAAGAGAAGGTTCACAACAGAGATGAAAATCCAAGAAAAAGGTTTAAGCAAATGAAATTAAAAGTCCAAGAGTAACCAGCCAAAGATGAGGAAACAACAGGCCGTGGCTCTGAAATCTGAGGGTGAAGATAATGCTAAACCTATGAGCTATGATGGGAAAAGGCAGTTACGTTTGGATATGAGCAAACTTCCCAGAGATAAACATGGGAGAAATTCCAACCCTGACGAGAAAGATCGACTTTGAAGCACAGCAAGCAACAATCGAGGGAATTAGAACAATAGGTTGTTGCATGTCTAAGGAAAAAACCACTAAAACCTCATGGTCAGAAAATAATGAAGATTAAAGGAGAACTTCCTTCACAGAAAAAAACAGGAGTTGGAAAGGCGGTTACTGGATGTCAATAATCAGCTAAATTCCAGAAAACATAAAACCTGAGAACTCTCAATCATCCAAGGCTGTTGGAAGAGGTTCCCATTGAGAACCTCGGGCAGCTTGCCCGAGTCTGAAAGTAGTAGCAGAGATTCAGGTTTTTTGGACAGTAGTGATTCTGAATCAGAAATGTTCCTTAAATTTACTGGCATAAAACAGAATGATTCTTTCAAAGAGAAAGGAAACATTCCATTTTCTATGCAAGATGCAATCTCTTTTTCATCAGACTACACATTTAAGAGAAACACTGCCAAATCACCACCAGTTTGCAGTTGAAGCATCAAGAATTAAAACACTTACAGAGTATGAAAACATTTCACCTTTCTAAATCCTGCCTCCTTAGGTGATTCTGAACAATGCTTGATGACGCCATGGTGTTAGAATCTGAATATCAAGTTCCTGTGCAAAAGGATGTAAAGATCAAGAATGCAGACTCTGGGAAAAGTTTAGGCAAACCAGTCAAGACCGGTGTACTGAAATCCTCAGACGAGCTCTTCAGCCGATGTAGAAGAACAGCAATAGGAAAGGAAGTAAAAGCTCAAACACAGGAACTAATACGGAAACACCAGGAACAGAATAGAAAGTCCCCAAAAGTATCCCAAGAAAATCAGAGGGAACCTGGCTTCACTCTAGAGTCTTTTTCAAATAAGATGCAAAACAAATGCCATGGAGAAGAACAGAAAGAACATCAACAGTCGTGGGAAACTCAAGATAAATATCAACTCTGGCTTCTCAAAGAAGGTCACTTATGGTTAGGGAGAAAGAGCGGAGAGGAGAAAAGCAATGGCTGGTACCTTGACATGACTCCTCAAAGCAATATTATGATAATATTAAACGACTTTGATTAAAACTCAGTTTTTAAATTAACCACCAACTTAAAATGAATCATATAAAAGATTAAAATGCATATAGTAAAATGATTGCTTTTAAACACCAAGATACCAACCTTATGTTGTATTCTGACTGCTCCAAAATGATTAAACAATTTTCTTTCTTTTTTTTTAATATTAATTTAAAAAACTTAAGGTGAGCTCAATAGTTAAAAAATATTAGGGAGGAATTTAGCACTTTTATTAAATCAACAGCATGATCCTAATAGTAATAACTTAACAGTTCAAATCTTATATTTTATAAGATATCATAGATATTAGGTTTAGAGAAAATGATTATAAAAATTTATATTTGACTACTAAGAAGGCTGTTTTGGTGCCTTGATCCTTCCTACAAAAGCCGCAAATGGTATTTCATTTTGTTTTATTTTTTTACTTCTCATAATTCAGTGGAAATGAAAGAGAAAAAATGTCAAGTTTAATTAAATCATGAGCAAAAAGAGCTTAGTAATAAAGGACAAATCATTTTAAGGAAATTCAATAGACTTAATTTCTCTTTATTTCAATAAATATTCATTTTGGCATTATTAAACTTACTCACAAAATTGATTAGAACCATTTCTGGATATAAGTACTATCACAGGAATTGAAAACTGCCTGGATATAGAACAATATATGCTAGAATTAATTAATTTATGACAGGAAGGTTTCAGAGAGTAACAGGGAGATTAACAATGGAACTCCTGAAAATATTTGTCCATTTAACTCTTTCTCAACAGTAACCAAAAACTTAGATCTCTGGGAAGGAAATGAGAAGTCCTGATGTATGACTTTCATTATCCGGTTTTATTTAGCCTACTTATTAGGAAAAAGAAGAAAATGAAAATTTCTAAATGACTTAGACTAACTTAAATGGAAAGCTGGGAAAACTAGACCAAAGGATTCAAACAGATTAGCAATCCGAGTTTCAAGTGTGAGGAGGCATAAAGAATCTAACTTGAATCTTTCAGGGGAAAATTTCAAGAGCGTACATTTTCTTCAGGATCCTAGGTCACTGCCTAATTACTAAATATTAAGTTTTATCTAAATTATCTATCCCGATTTCTCAAGTCCATCTCTGGGGATTTGGGAAGAGCAGGGTCGGAGGGAAAGGTGGCTTCCACCTCCTCCTTTCCCCTTCTTACTCCAGGAAATCCAAAGGTATTTATTTGGCTATAAAAGGAAATAGTTTTTGTTTCCCTAACATTTCAAAAGGCTGGGAAGGAGATAACAATTTATGAGAACCTTATTTAGTACTCTAAAGGGTAGGTGACGTCACAGGATATCCTGAGTTTGAAAACCTGGACTTAACTCCCCAAAAGGGTCCTCATTCCCAGCTTTGGAAAGAGACCAAGAACTGTGTGTGCTGCCTCCCAAGCATGCCAAGCCCTTAGGTCAAACATTTCCAAATGTTCTATTAATTCCTTCTGTTTATAAGTCCATAATTTTCTTCTCATCCTTTGGCATTTAAAAATTATAAACTTTTCCTTGAGGCATTCAAGCTTAGAATCAAGCTGATGCTCTCTCAATATATGAGATCTAAAGCACTAACCCCTAGCTTTGTGATTTAGTCTTATGGACTTAATAGTTTTGCTAAATTGTCTAAGGCAGGTGGATAACACATGTTCTTCTTTCTACTTCCAAGCCACCAGCAATATTTGAGCCTTTACTATGACACTAGTATTGTTTTATATTATAACTGTGTACATTTTTGTTCCCTGGATTGTTGACTCTTTTGAGAGAAGGAGCCATGCCTAATTCACTTTTGTATCCTTCTGCATCTAACACAGAACCTTGCTGTAGTATAAATTCAAGCATTTAATAAATGACTTATGTGATAGATGTATGCCTGTAGTAACATACTGAATGCTTCCAGATTCTAAAATACAATAATTAAATCTCAATCACAAACTAGAAACGTTAGTCACCTCTTTCTAAGTACCTGCCTCCGTTCCACTGCTGGCGACTTCTAACCAGAGCTGCTGAACCGAAACCCCTGCGCCTTTCTTGGCTCCTAGTTCAAGACACATTACTTTTTCCAGTTTGGGAAGGGAGAGAGGTGAGTTGAGGATTCTGTCTAGCCACATTTTTTTATATATTCTTCCCACTATCAAGCCTTCTTTAGACAGAAGTTATCAAAATACACTTCTTAAAAACTGGTAAGAACTGTATCAAGGTAACCAGCAAATTTTGTTCATATTTGAGTTAGCCATAGTTCTTAATGTTCATTAAACCTGATATGTCTATCAATGACCTTCCATTACCTTAAGACAAAATCCAGGCTCTTTAGCATTATTTACCTTTTCCTTCATTGTCCATTTCCTCTCCTACTCTCCCAAAGGAAGTAAAAGCTTCACTTTGCAACCATCCACACCAAAACAACTGTGCCTTTACACACGCGGTTCCTTCTGCCTGGGATGTGCACTCTCGTCTCTGCCTAGGGAATCCCTATACGGCCTTCAAGATCCAGATTAGGTGTCATCTTTCCTATTAATGCTCCCTTACCACCCCCCATCCCCTACCCCAACACTTGGTGGACATAGGCTGAACCTCTGTCTCCTCCCCCAGCACCTGGACAGCTTCCTATGGTTGCTTCACACTCTTTTCTGTTTTTATCACCATCTTCCCCACTAGGCTAAGAGATATTTGAAGGCTATTTTGTCTTGTTGCTCCTTTTCCCCAAAGTGCACTTTCATTTCTGGCACATAGTAGGCATACAAGACAATTGAATGAACAATATTTCACCCACCTGATATTTCTTAGAACAACCCCAGCACTAGAAGAAAAGAAAACTGTGTTACAGAGGCTGATAGAACGGGCTCCGGGCCTGTGATTCTCTTTCTTTAAATGCCGTAATTTACTAGTTTTTCCAGTAGTGTTAGTTTTCTGGGCTTTTGTAATTAACCTTATGTAGATTCTCATTTAGCTATTAATATACCATAATGATAAATTAGTTAGTCTTATTTACCTCTGCCTCTAGCCTCATCTGTAATCCTGGATGTTTTGAAATAATAGGAAAGGCCAACTCCTGCCATTCAGTAATGACTGCCTAACCCTACAAACAAGTTCTGCGAATTACCTGGAGAAGAGTCGCATCCATCCCTTGTTAGAGAGGAAGGAGAAGCCAACCAGTCATAAATAATACAGGATAGATATCCCTCTCAGGCAAAAGCACTCTGAAGAGTTGAATGTCTAATTGAAGACTAAGTAGAACTAAATAAGTACCAACCATCTATTCTCTTCTTCTGAGAACAGATTGCAAATCATAGGAAGGAAGTCGAAATATTGGAAAACGTTATTCATAAACTGGAAGAAGAAAATTTGGAGCTCATTGATCAACTCTTCAACTGTAGACTTGTGGATCTCAAAATACCCAGGTGAAATATATTAATGTATCTAGAATGTATTTTGTAAACATTTGTATCTGTAAAAGTTATTTTTAAAGATGAGTTAATTATTTAATGCTCCAGCCAGATTGCAATAGTTGAAAAGGAAGGAACTCACAAAATGGCCATGGTGAAGGTATATGATGATTATAGTTGACCGTTGGTACAGTGCAAACTTTGACTTGCCTTTTCTAGCAATATACTGCAGTCATAATAGCAGACACTTACCACGAATGTCACAACTGCTGGCCTTCAAAAGCCTCCAGGGCAGCAGGGAATGTAGGCATGAAAATAAATGCAAAACAGTACAGAGATGTCTGAGGTACAGAGTTAGCACAGAGGAGGGAGTGATCCATTGTGTGGCAACTTCCTGAAAGTGTTCTGGGCTTCCGGGAATAGAATTGTTTCCTTTGATAGTTAAGGAAAGAGTGAAGGTACTGCCCTGGCCAGTTTGGCTCAGTGGTTAGAGTGTCAGCCCATGGACCCAAGAGTTGGGTTCGATTTCCTTTCATACCCATGTATCTCTCTCTCCCTCCCTTCCACTCTCTCTGAAGATAAATAGAAAAATGTCCTGGGGTGAGGATTTAAAAACAAAAAGTTAGCTATTGTTATGATTATTACTTTAATAAAGGGTTTTTTGAAGGCTTTAGTTTGTGTTGGAGCTTAAAAGAGGGCAAATGTGGCATGCCGGCCATTGTAATCCTTTAAAAAAAATTAGGCCCTGGCCAGTTTGGCTCAACAGTTAAAGCATCGGCCCATTGACCAGAGTCCCAGGTTTAGTTCCTGCTAAGGGCACGTACCTCGGTTGCAGTTTGTCCCCGGCCCCAGTTGGGGTCATGTGGGTGGCAACCAGTCAATGCGTCTCTCTCACATTGATGTTTCTCTCTCTCTCTCTCTCTCTCTCTCTCTCTCTCTCTCTCTTTCCCCCTCTCCCTCTCCTGCTCTATCTGAAGATAAATGCAAAAAAAGAAAAAAAGAGTGAAACTACTTTCTAGGCAGAGAAAATAGTCTGGCATTCAAAGGTACATTGCCCTGGACAATTGGATCAGCAGTTAGAGCACCAGCCTGCGGACCAATGAGTCCCAGGTTCCATTCTCTCTCTCTCTCTCTCTCTCTCTCTCTCTCTCTCTCTCTCTCCCTCTCTCCCTCTCTCCCTCTCTCCCTTCCTCCCACTCTATCTGAAGATAAATAGAAAAATATCCTCTGGTGAGGATTAAAAAAAAAAAAAAAGTCACATCCATTTCTGCACAAGAGAAAAACCCACATGTGTACATGGCTTTGAATTTTAGGTTATCTTTTTCTTACCTGACAAAGAAGTCTTTAAATACCAATCTTGATGGAAAACCAAGGCCCTGGAATATGATGGAATTAAAATTCAAAGGAGCGTTCATAATTTGGACAAGTGGGCAGAAACAAGAAATAATCGAAATAGTAGCCTGTTTCGGGAGAGAGGGAAATAAATCCCACGAACGTAAGGTGTACACGTGCAAGACGGGAGAGGGTGTCTGGGTCTAGGAATGAAGGCAGAGAAGTTCATCGTAGTGGAAGGGCCGGGAAAACGTTCCCACTCCAGCAGTTCCTGTTGCTTGTATAACATAGAAAAGTACTATCTGCACCATAATAAAGTATTTGTTGTATACAAACTTCCTCTGTTCCAAGAAGGGTGGATGCAGAAAATTGTGGGGTTTGCGTCTGGTGGGTTAAGAGATGGGTGTCAGGAGACAGAGTGGGAGAAACTGGGAGATAGTGCAGTTGCTTCATAGGGTGAGAGCTGGGTGGGGCAGGATAGAGAAAGGCCGCCTGCCTCCCTTCCACAATGTATGTGTGCTGCCCCGAGAGGGAACTACCTTGTAAATGGTGTAGACAGTTAAACTAAATGAATTGGTTGAATGGTGGGCTCCCCGAGGGCCCCTAGGAGGTGGGGCTCCCTGGCCCCCAGCAGGCAGTGCGCTCTGCTGCCTGCCCTCCTCTCTACGAGCAGGTCTCCAGCTCCACACTCCTGCAGGCCTCTGCTCCCTGCTCCCTGCCCTTACTGGCCCCTTCCTTGTAACCATGTCTAGTCTCTGCCAGCTGTTGCTGGTGTTGTGGCTTCTAACCACTGCCCTACCTGCTGTCCACTGTCCTCTTTTCTGAATACGCCAAACCTTAGAAAAGCTATCCTGCAAACTGCCAACCCCACTTCCTGCTTCGGGCAGCCCAGTCTGGGCTGATTTGGTCCTGACGAGAATGTGAAGTGCTAATTATAACAGGGGAGTTCTTTCCCTGGCCAGAGAAAACTGGCAAGGTCAGAAAGATCAGAAACTTCTGATGGGGGTTTTCATTGAGGTGTTTGCTGTGTCATATGCAATCTCACTTCCTCTCTCGCCCACAAAAATCTTCAGTCGAATCCACTTTGTTCATCAGTGCTCTGCAGGGTGGTTTTCTCTGGTGGGAGACAGGAGTCCTGCTTCAGAATTGGGAGAGATCAAATCAAAATCTGTCCAAGCAAAAAGAAGCAGCATGGAGACGTCTATCAGAACTGGGTTAGGTGCCCAGGATGTGTGCCCTAGCAGTATCTTCACTGACTACTTATTTAACGTCTGCTTCCTCGCTGGCTTGTAAGCTCCTTGCGGCCACTTTTTAGGACATTTTAGGAAAATCTCCATAAAGAAACAGAGGAATGTGTAAACCCTTGATTATCTATTACACTTCTTATCCAAAAGAAAATTTTAAATATACTCAGGAGCTGTTACGGTACCCATTTTCAAGTCAAAGAAATATAATACACATTGTATATCTCATAGTTACTGCCCTTCCACCTCTTTTGCTGAGAATTTAGTCCTGTGTAATACTAGCAGGGTGCTGAGAAAGAGACATTAACGGTCCTCAGTGGACATATAAAAAGTTCTCTTTTCTCATTTGGATGAAGAATGGGGCATTCTAGCTAATAGTTAGTACATTTCCCATCCTGAGCTCCCCCAACTTTTCCCCTTCACAACTCACATAAAAGGTCATAGTATTTGCTACATGAGATGAGGTGAATGCCAGCCAGAGGTGACTGCCCAGGGACTCAAGTGCCACGGGATTGAGGCTAAAGGACTAATGCCTACAATTCGAGCACTGACTCCTGTAATAACACTCTTTAAAATACGTTCTCTATCATTAAATAACAAGTGTTGCTGGCCATATAAAAGTGACAATAAATTAATGATTAAGCTCAGCTGGTGTGGCTCAGTGGTTGAGCATAGACCCATGCACCAGGAGGTCGCTGGTTCGATTCCCGGTCAGGGCACATGCCCAGGTTGTGGGCCTGATCCCCAGTGGGGGGCATGCAGGAGGCAGCCAATATCGATGTTCTCTCTCATCAATATTTCTATCTCTCTCTCCCTCTCCCTTTCTCTCTTTCTAATATCAATAAAGAAAAAACAATTTTTTTTTAAATTAATGATTAAGAGAGAAACCAGATTTATGAAGGTTATGGCATTTGGTAAGAGCTTAATTATTCAAAATGGTAAAACCAGAAGAGAAGAGAATTCTATGGCCTCGGATATGTCTGCCGGTAGACCAGAGCTACGTATGAGACTAACCTGTACTAAGGTAGGTCTTAAGAAGGTTTTACAGATATAAACATTGTATGTAGTTACATTATATTCCAGAGCCTTAGCATTCTGAATAACACTTGAATCATGTTCTTTAAATAACTGACAGGGTGTAAGCCAGGGCGTTCATATTGGTTGCTGAGCCGCTCAGCATGAGAGTTGTTTGCAGACCTTCAGGGGTCCAGCTGCATCCTGCTGCCTTCCAGCAAACCTGATGGAAAGGCCTTGCGGAGCTTCCAGGGCACATCTTTCCTGATGGAAGCCAGGGAGCCTGCAGGGGGCGTGCTTGTGCGGAGCCGCGTGGCAGGCAGAGCTCCCGGCGTACAGCTGAGACAGCCGCTCTGCAGGCCGGAGCCCGCATGCCAGCTCGCTTCCTACTGCTCGCTCTTCCTCTTTTTATTTTAAAACCACCCCATTCAGGCCACTGTCATTTCTCACCTGGACCACTAATTGGTGTCATGCTCACTCTCATTTCTGGGACTTTCAGTGTGAAAGTCCCTGACCATGAAATGTCCTTCCTCTACCCCAAGTTCTTCCCTGGCAAATAGCCCCTTGTTCTTCAAGACACAGCTCAGGTTTTATGTCCTCCTGGAAACCACCCCTTACCCCCTAACACTAAATCGGATGCTTCTCTCTGCACAGCACTTCTCACACTGTGCCAACTACCCGTCATGGTACAGACCATCACGTAAGCCTGCCTGCCCGCACAGGGCCTTACACTGCTCAAGGGTAGAAACTCATTTTCATCTATGTATCTCTAGCATCAAGAAGAGAGACAGACAGTAGTGAGCAGGTGGCTGACGGTATTTGTTGGCTGACAGACTGCTTTTCTTATTTGTTCTTTTAGGCGACTGTATCTTACCCAAGCTGCTGGACAGCAAGGGCTACCTGAAGATATGCCTGTGGAGTTGCCAGAAACATATACAGGTATTATTTATTGTAATGGTGATATTTTTTTAAAGTAATGCTTGTTGAGCATCTGTTATAGTTAGGCACCTCATATCCAGGAGCGATTTGGGTGTCGATGCATGCCAACTCCTCCAACTCCTCTTCTTGTAGCACCTGTCCTAACCCATCTCCTTTCCCCAGTCTTCTTCTCGAATCAAAGTCACCATGTCTCGCAGGGAATTAAATAGATGCTGTTGGAAAGGGAGAGTGTGTTTTCTACACTGGCGTGGTTTCCGATTTAGCCAAACAACTGAAATACCAACACACACAAAGCTTCCCCGTGATCACTGTAACTTACTGCAAACAGAAGGGAACAGAGTGTGGACAGAGTTTCTGAGAATGAGGTCACTCATTCTCACTTTAGTAACTGGATCCCACATTCCTAATTCTCAAATCCATCTCCTCCAGGAGATTCTCAAAGCTCTCTCACATTTAAAATGTGACAAAATATGTATTGTATTTTTATTTTTATCTGTCCAAAATATATACATAATTAATTTCTTTTCATTCATCCCAGAAAAGTCAAAATTGGAACCCATAAAAGTAAAAAGTACAGACAAGATGAGCTCATCAGTTGAGATCAGCGCTTCACATCTTAGTCATGAAGACAGCATCAGCTCTGACCAGCATCTGAAGACAGATGACAAGACCTCATGTACAGAGTTTGGGGCCTCTGATATGAAATACTTACTCTATGAGGATGAGCAGGATTTCAAGGTAAGATTAAGTAAACAATTTTGACAGCTAAGATCATGCTGTTTTATTAATGGAGAAAATTATACTAAAATGTAGATGTTGAAAAATTCTATTTGTGATTATTAGTAAAATTTGCCCACCATTCACATCCTTTCAGATACTATTTTTACCCCTACCCTTGCCCAATTTGCTACCTATATTCATTTATAGACCTCCATTGCTAGTACACCATCTCCATCATCTAATGCTACATAACAAATTACCCCGAGACTTAGTGGCTTATAATAATAATCACTTATTTTCTTTTAGAGCTTCTGTTGGTTAGGAGATAGGGATAGACTCCACTGGACAGTCCTCACTTGGACTCCCAGTTGCTGTCATCTAGTGGCTGGAGCTGCAGTCATCAGAAAGCCTGATGGGGGGGAGGACCCATTTCCAGGGCAGCTCAGCACTCACATGACTGGCAGGTTGATGCTGGCGAAGCTGGGGGCCTCAGTTCCTCTTCACATGGGCCTCTCTGCAAGGTGCTTTTATTGCCCCTTTCTGATGGTGTCTGCCTTCTCCAAGAGCAAGCAATCCCAGAGATGAAGAAGAAAACAGCAATGTTTTGCATGACAGCCTTCCCTCATAATCTATTGGTTGATGTAGTTATAAAGTTCCACCCAAGAGGAGGAAATGTAGCTCATACATCTTGAAAGAGGAAGGTTGGCATCACATTGTCAGAAAAGCTTGTGGGATAGGATATTAGTATGGCTGTCTTTGGAAAGTACAAACTGCCATATAAACCACTGGATGGAACCTGGAGTATTCGTGCCTTTTTCTCTTAAAACCTTTTGGTACATTCCAATTACTCCCACACTGACCCCTTGCTATTTTCTTTCTTGGTACTACCAATAACTTAAAAAGTTCTCCTAGAACTTAAATTCTTATTGGAAAAAGAGTGATATAAGAAAGCAGAAGAGCTCAGTGTTGCTCAGTGGATTGAGCATCCTCCCAAGGACTGAGAGGTCCTGGTTGGATTCCCCATCAGGGCACATGCCCAGGTTGCGGGCTCCATCCCCAGGAGGGGGTGTGCAGGAGGCAGCCAGTTGATGTTTCTCTCTCACATTGAGGTTTCTAGCTCTCTCTCCCTTCCTCTTTCTCTAAAAAATTCAATAAAAATATTTTTTTAAAAGAAAGCGGAAGAAACTGAATAAATCAACAAAAATTATTTTAACTAACTATGACTCAGTCCTGCTACCATCAAGTGATAGTTTAAAGACTAAAGGTCTAGTCCCTTTAGCATTCAAACACCCCCATGAGTATCTTGGAAGCATGACACCTAGTATGTTATGATGACCTCAAGTGGACAATTGCCTCTAAAATTCCAAAACTGGATACTTTGGTTGAATGAAAGACCTTCTCACTTACCATGGAAGTGTCGGATGTGGTAAAGATGGCACTGTGCATGCCGTGTGCTGAATTATGTCTTCCTGCCCACCTGCATTCATATGTTGAAGTCCTAACACCTAATGTAACTATATTTGTAGATAGGGTTTTTAGGAGATCATTAAGGTTAAATGAGGTCAATAAGATGGGGTCCTAATCTGATAGGACTGTGGCCCTTATAAGAGTAGACTCTCCCTTGAGAGGACACAGCGAGAAGGAGTCATCTGCAAGCCAGGAGAGCTCACCCCAGAACTCAATCACGCCGGCCCCTAGTCTTGAACTTTCTAGCCTCCAAAACTGTGAGAAAGGGATTTCTGTTGTCTAAGCCACTTAGTCTATGGTATTTTGTTATGACACCTTGAGCAGACTAACACAGTGTATTAGGATTCTGAAATACGTGTTAGATGTCTCTCAATTTGCTTTTCTCCTCTCTTACATTTGTTATAGTTCTATAATTATGTTTTAAAAACTAAATACAGTTATATGCATTTTTGAGTAATAAAACGATTTCCTTTTTTATTCTTTGATATTCCTAAATTCTAATAAATGTTTATTGAGACCCCCACGACATTCCATGTGCTTGATAGATGTTTGGAAATTTAAGGGGGTAAACAGGAAGAAATGAGGTCTCAAAGATGACTATATGTCAGGCACTACACTCAAGTTGCTCACATGCTAATAGAAGAGAGATAAGAAAATCATTAATTACTGTGCAAGAGAAATATACCACCTGTGTCTGTCTCTCTGACCAGTATTGTGAGCTCATCTCTGTGCCCCAACACTTGAAGCCTGGCACATAGTGGGAACTCAGAAAAAGTTTATTGAAATGTTGAAAATATTCAGAAGAAAAGATTATGACTTGGGAAGGCTCCTGAGAGGAAGACACGTTAGGTAGGGCCTAAGCTGTTTGGGGTGGCTGTGGGATTTCATATAAATCAGACTTTTAATTTCACTTGTTGATATCTTAAACTATAGTTAGTCTGGTAGAATATGGTAAGTTTTATTTATACAGTAGCTAAAGGTCCAATGAAAAATACAAAATTTATACAGAACTTGCTCCGTGTTAGAATATTAATAGTCAAAGGGATGTTTGCATATGTTTCCCTTTGTTCTGGAACTATATAGAAAACTCTGCTGTGGTTATATCCTACATAGAGCCAACACTTTCCTTTACCAATTAAAGGGCTTGCAGAGAATATATCTCCCCACTCCAGCTGGTGCCCGCCACTCAACCCCCTGAAAGACAAGCCTGCCAGACCTGCTGGCTGCCCTTTGGGGGATCCTTCCCACCACGCCCCACTGGGTATACAAGTTTATGGAGTGGTTTGTGTTTTTAGTAGCTCTCATATTCCACACGTTGCACAGCATTCAGGCAAAGAGGAGGGCAATGAAATCGCTCAGATAAAGGAAACCATACCTGTTGAAGCTGGTAATCTGCTGAATAACCTCTCTTATCCTCTTCTGTATCTGTTCACCACAGGATTATGTAAACTTGGGCCCCCTGCAAGTGAAGCTCATGCGTGTGGACAGCAAGAAAATGCCGATTCATTTTCAAGAGAAGGAAGTTCCAGTCAAATTCTATGAAGATGTCACACGCCCAGAAAGCCACATCACATATAAAATGGTGAAGTATTTTCTCTAAGACTGAAAGCTGTAAAGTAAAAACAACTTTTCCTTATAAATTGTCTTTGGGAACTGAAATATATCAGTTGCTCATTTTATTTATACTTCGGTCCATTTTTAAACAAGTTATTCCTAAAGTTCATAATCACATTTAAAATAGAAGTTCAAAAACAACAATGAGTTATCACCTCACACCTGTCAGAATGGCCGCCATCAACAAATCATCAAACAAGTGTTGGCGAGGGTGTGGAGAAAAGGGGACTGTAGTGCACTGCTGGTGGGAATGCAGACTGGTGCAGCCACTATGGAAAACACTATGGTGTTACCTCAAAAAATTAAAAATTGAACTGCCATTTGACCCAGTGATCCCACTTCTAAGAATATACCCTAAGAAACCTGAAGCACCAATCAGAAAGAATATATGTACCCCCATGTTCATAGCAGCACTATTTACAATAGCTAAGATCTGGAAACAACCCAAGTGTCCATCAGTAGATGAGTGGATAAAAAAGCTGTGGTACATGTACACAATGGAGTACTATGCAGCTGTAAGAAAGAAAGATCTCTTATCCTTTGAGATGGCATGGAAGGACCTGGAGAGTATTATGCTAAGCGAAACAAGCCAAGCAGAGAAAGACAAATATCACATGATCTCACTTATTTGTGGAATATAATGATCTACACAAACTGATGAACAAAATTTACCCAGAGATATAGAGGTGGAGTACAGACTGACAAGCCTCAGAGGAAGGGGGTTGAGGTGGGGAGAGATAAACCACAGAACTTATATGCGTGTATGCATGACCAATGGACATGGACAACAAAGCTGGGGATGGGGCGGGGGGGATGGGGAGGAGGGTGTCAATAGGGAAAAAAGGAGAAACATCTGTAACAGAAACAAATTAATAAAAAAAAATGATACTATTAAAAAAAATAAAAAGTTCAGCTATCTATTTACCTACAAGGCACGAGTGACAAAACAAAAGTACAAGTTATATTTTTATATTCAAGTAATCAGAAGCATGACAGTGACCCAAGATGGTCTCTGAGGTTCCTTTCCACTTAAAAATTCCCTGATTAATCTATGATTCCAATATGAAATCGTTCAGTTAGAAATTTTCCTACGAAAAATTTAGAGGTTTACATAGCACTGATGACATACACATCTTTCCCTTAGAGAGTGCTAAATGGTAGCCATTCCGCAGTTCAAGCCTGGTCTTCTTTAACCTTACACCGTTTATAATGAAACATTTCACAAATAAATTGTAGGGTGGTAATTTGTAGTATCAAAATATTCCACAAATAGGGAGATCCTTCTTCCATCAGCTATATCAGGTCTAAACTGCCGAGTTCCTGTCCAAGGCCATTACCACTTCCCTTTTATGGGTACTCCAAGCAAAGGCAACTGTGACTGGGCCTGAATTTGATTGACATCAGCATTTCATTTAAAGGCAAGATCTACTTATAAAGCTTTCTACAAGAAACACCTTATAAATATAAGGCCACACATAGATCGAAAGTTAATACACCATTGCAAACATTAACAAAAAAGAAGGTGGTGTGATTAACTATTAGACAGCATAGATGTTAAAATAAGAATTGGTAAGAGAAAATTAAAAGAAGCATTTCCTAATTATAAATAAATCTATCAGAATGATATAACAATCCTAAATTTATTTGTACTAATAAGCATGATCTAAAAATATATAAAGTGCCCAGCCAGCATAGCTCACTGGTTGAGTGTCGACCCGTGCACCAAGATGTTGCTGGTTTGAATATTCCTGGTCAGGGCACATGCCCAGGTTGTGGGCCCAATCCCCAGTGGGGGTCATGCAGGAGGTGACCAATCATTGTTCTCTCTCATTGATGTTTCTATCTCTCTCGCCCTCTCCTTTCCTCTCTCTCTAAAATCAATAAAGAAAAAAAATATTAAACATATAAAGCAAAATTTACCAAACTAAAAAACACTATGGCAAACCTTATGTATATTTTACCACAATAAACAAAGAAAATAGACACATTCACAATCAGACTTAAAGATCTTACCACATCTTTCTCAATAACTGCTAGATCTATCAGATTTAAAAATCATTAAGGATATAAAAAGTTGAACAACTGTAGACTACACATTATTTTCAAGTGCACATGAAGCATTTATAAAACTAGACCATATCCTGAGCCATAAAGCAAATCATAACAAATATTCATAAAATTGAAATGTATAGAACACAGTTCTCTGGCCAGAGTACAAAAAATAATAATAATAGTAATTGAAACTAAGCAAGACACTTCTAAAAAACCCATGGGTGAAAGAAAAAAAAATCATTTAAAAATTATATTTTAAAGTGATAATAAAAAATATGACATGTCAAAACCTGTGGGATCCAGCTAAAGTGGTGCTTAAAGGAAAACTTAACACTAAGTTCATGTATTAAAAACAAGAAGGGTTGAAAATTCGATCTAAATTTTATCAAAAAAATTTAGATAAAAACAGCACAAATAAACCTAAGGAAAATAGAATAAAAGAAACAATGAGGGAAAAAAACAATTAAATAGAAAGCTGACCTATGAAAGAGAACATCAGCAAATCCAAAAGGTGGTTTCTTAAAGGGTTAATTAAAATTGTCAACCCCTGCCCTGGCTGGTTTGGCTCAGAGGTTAGAGCATTGGCCTGCGGTCTGGAGAGACCCAGGTTTGGTTCCCTACCTCAGCTGCAGTTTTTCCCTGGCCCTGGTTGCCACTCGATGTGTCCCTTTCACATCGATGTTTCTCTCTCTCTCTCTCTCCCTCCCACTCTATCTGAACAAAATAGCAAAAAAAAAATTTTTTTTCTTGGGTGAGGATAAAAAAATAAATAAAATTGTTAACCCCTAGTAAGACTAACCAAAAAAAGAGAAAACGAAAAAGAAAACATCGCTACATTTTTTTATAGACAGTGTTAAAAAGATAATAAGAAGATCCCTGGCTGGCTTGGCTCAGTGGTTAGAGCGTCAGCCTGCGGACCAATGAGTGGCAGGTTCAATTCTGGTCAAGTGATTGTACCTCAGTTGTGATTCATCCCTGGCCCTGGTTGGGGTCGTGCGGGAAACAGCCATTTGATGTGTCCCTTTCATGTCGATGTTTCTCTCTCTCTCTCTCTCCTCTCTCTCTCTCTCTCTCTCTCTCTCTCTCTTCCTCCCACTCTAACTGAACAAAAATGGAAAAAATAGCCTCAGGTGAGGATAAAAAAAAAGATGATAAGAAGAAATTATAGGGGGAAAAACTTTCCCAATAAATTTGGTAACTTAGATTAAATGGAAACATTTCTAAAAACAGGAGAAAATAAAAATTCTAAATAGTCCTAAATATCTTTTAAAAATCAAATCTGTACTTTAATTTTTCCCACAAGGAAAATTTCAAACCCAGATGGCTTGCCTCATTCATGAATTTTCTAAACATTTAAAGAAGATATAATAGCTAACATACAAAAACTCTTTCAAACAACGGGAAAAAAGAAACACTTCTCTCTGGTCCGCAGGCTGATGCTCCAACCGCTGAGCCAAACCCATCAGGGCAAGAAACACTTCTAAAGTGCTCTATGAAGTCAATAAAATTCTAATACAAAATCTTATTAAGTCATTACAAGAAAAAAATACAGGCAAAGCTCGGTCAAGATGGTGTACTAGCCTGGCTGGTATGGCTCAGTGACTGAGCATTGACCCATGCATCAAGATTCCCAGTCAGGGCACATGCCCAGGTTGTGAGCCAAAACCCCAGTAGGGGGCATGCAGGGGGCAGCCAATCAATGTTCTCTCTCATTGATGTCTCTCTCTCTCTCTCCCTCCTTCTCCTTTCCTTTCTCTCTACAATCAGTAAGGGAAAAAAAAAAATTTCTTTTTTTAAACTTATACAACTCAACACCAAGAAGACAATCCAATTAAAAATGGGCAAAAGACCTGAACAGACATTTCTCCAAAGAGGACATACAGATGGCTGATAGACATATAAAAAAATGCTCAACATCACTAATCATCAGAGAGATGAAAATTCAAAATCACAATGAGAAAAGCTGTGGTACATTTACATAATGGAATACTATGCAGCTGTAAAAAAAAAGAAGAAGAAGAAGAAGAAGTAGTATATCTTACCCTTTGAGACAGCATGGATGGATCTGGTGATTATAATGTTAAGCAAAATAAGCCAGTCAAAGAAAGACAAATACCATATGATCTTATTTATATGTGGAATCTAATAAATGAAATAAATTGATGGCACAGCCCATAGACACAGAAAACAATGTGGTTAGGGCTGGGGGGGGGGGGGGCAGGGTCCAGGTGAAGAGGGGAAAAGAGGGAGGAGAAATAAAAACTACATCTGGTATGTGGGTAAATGTGGATTTAACAGTGTTTTACACAGTGCATCAAGCCCCCTGCTCTCTAAGTCACTCAGCTCCCTGGGGGGGAAAATGCCATAAAATCACTAACCATGAAAGAGTGATAAATTGGATTTTATTAAAATTAAGATCTCTTGCCCTGGTTGGAACATTGCCCTGTACACCCAAAAGGTTTTGGGTTCAATTCCTGGTCAGGGCACATATCTAGGTTGTGGATTTGATCCCCAGGGCATGTACAGGAGGCTGATCAATATTTTTCTCACATAAATGTTTCTCTCTCTCTCTCTCTCAAATCAATAAACATATCCTTGGGTGAGGATAAAAAAATAATCCTCTTTTTATTTTAAGACACCATTAAGAGAGTCAAAAGGCAAGCCACATATTGGGAAACTATATTTCTGATGCATATATCTAACAAAATACATCATATAAAGAACTTTTACAAATCAGTTAAAAAAAAAAAAAGACAAATGATTAATAAATATAAAAAGGAGATCAACATTATTGCTCATCAGGGAAAAGCAAGTTAAAACCATGAAACACCAGTATACACCCAATATAATGTCTAAAATTAAAAAGTTGAAAATAGTAAGTATTGACAAAGATACAGAGCAACTTGAATTCTCATATAATTGTTGATGGGAGCA